GCGCTCCCACAGCGGCTCCCTGGCTTAGCTGGGAGCTGGGGACGGGCGGGGACACGGCCGGGTGCTCAGGGCACTCGGTGCCAGGCGCTGCCTCGGGCATCCTGAGTGTCCCCAGCCCTGTTTATCCAGTGTCCCCGCCGAGCAGCAGCTGGCAGGGCTTGACCCCTTCAGGGCAGTGGCACTTGGGGACAGCAGCTGCTGATGCTGAAGTTTCTCTGGGGATCGAAGAATCTGCTGAAAAACGCATTAAAAATAGAGGGGGGAGAATCCTGGGGCTGGTTTTACCCCACGGAAAAAGCTCCTGAATAACTGGACTTGATCTCAGAGGGTTTTTTCCAACCCTAAGGATTCTGTAAAGCCCAGGGTAAGGGGGGAAGAGGGAGAACTTCCCAGGCTGAGGAGGGGCTGTGAAGGTGTGGAAAATGAGCCAGGGCAATGCTGTTGGGTTATCACCATGACTGATGTCTGTGTGCTCTCCTGCCTCAAAGGAGAAGGGGATTCCAGGTTGTGCTCTCGTGGATTTGCCAAGAATTGAATCTGAGGGCAATGTCCCCTTCTTCCAGCCCCAGGAACAGCTTGGCCAGGAGCAGGACATGAGGTGAGCCTGTGCTGGCCCAGGGGACAATGAGATGGCACCAAACCACGTTTGTGTCCCCAGAACCAGCACAAGGCCAAGAGAAACCCAGGCTCTGTGCTGAGTTTTGCATTGCTCCTCATCCGGAGCTTCCCGTGCCTTAGAGGAAATTGTTTCCCTATCCCAGGCATGTCTTGGCATTTCCAGTGTTTTCTTGATCCAGAGGAGGGCAAAAGATCTGTAGAATATTAAATTTTGAACAAATAAAGTGGCCATGCCAAAAATGTTGCATTTTCTTGTCAGGCTGGGAGGCGGCAGGAGTGTAAATTTTGGTCTGACAAAAAAAGCAGCAGTGATTAAAATGTTGTGACCATTGACAAATTTTCTAGAGAACTGGTTGAGAAATCCAGCAGAACTCATTCTTTCCAGTGGAAAGCCTCCACATTTCCCTGGATCTGCATTTTCTAAGAAGAATAGATTTTTATCAAAAATTTCCACCGAGCTGTTTCACTAACCCAGGTGGAAATTACCTTCCCTCAACTCGCTTAAAATTACAGCAGTTTCGCTTTTCCCCTTTTTCTTATTACTTTTTCCCTTTTCCCTCTTTTTTTTTTTTGTATTTTTTTCATGAAGCAGAGCTTCATCTGCTGCAGGATATCCTGGGAAGTGCCTGGCAGATATCCCTCCTCAGCCAATCCCATCTGGGCAGAGCAAGGAGAGGAGAGCATTTCTCCTCCTCTGTGTTCAGACAGAGCCCAAATTAACCTAAATCTCCCCAGTCCTGATAAGATAAGGACGATAAGGAGTCATTTCACCCAGCTGAAGGTACATCCCCTTCCAGAGGGCTGCAGGAGGTACCATTTCTTTCATTTTCCCTGCTATTGCTGCAGCTCCCATTCCCAAATCCTTCTGATCTCATCCAGGCCCATCCTCGTGCCGTGTTCTGGCTGCCTGGGATGTGCTCCTGGTGAATGTGGCGCTTTCTCCGTGGCTTTGGGATGGGACAAGAGGCTGGTGGCACCTCCAGGACACTGCCCTGTGTCCCTCCCATCCGTAGGGCTGCTTCCCATTATCCCTCCGTGCCACAGCGGCTCCGTGACTGGCACAGCTCCCCTGGCAGCTCTGCCCAGCCCGCGGGGGAGCCCGGGCGTGTTGTTCATGACACTTTTCCTCCTCCCCAGGGGCTCTGGCCGGACTGGGACCTCCATCCTGAGGCGCCTCGGGGTGTGGCAGATGAGGGACGTGTCCCCCCGGGTCCCTCCTGCCTCTGCAGTGTCACCTCCCCGGGACAGATGTGCCAGATGTTCTGCAGCTGGATCCTCCCTCCCAGCTGTGCCCGCACGGGGACACTGCCGAGGGCACAGGGAAGTGTCACCCTGTGTTGTGCCCCCACGCAGACCCTGCTGTCCCTGCTCCCAGGAGCACATCCCAGGCAGCCAGAACACGGCACGAGGATGGGCCTGGATGAGATCAGAAGGATTTGGGAATGGGAGCTGCAGCAACAGGAGGGAAAATGAAAGAAACGGTACCTCCAGCAGCCCTCTGGAAGGGGATGTCCCTTCAGCTGGGTGAAATGACTCCCTATCGTCCTTATCAGTTTGGGTTTGGGACGCTGTGGGGACGTGACACTGGGAGGTGGCTCTGCAGGATCAGGTGCCTGCCACCCCCAGCCTGCTCTCTGGAAAGAGGAAGGGGATGGTTTCCCTGAAGGAATGCTGGGCTCCTGCCACCCAGGGTGACCATCCCACTGACCCCAGCCTCCAGAGGGGACAGGATGCTGCCAGCGTCCAGCAGCAGCAGGAATCTCACGGAGCGTCAGTGCCACTGGACCAGGTGCCACCACCCCCCGCGTCACCGCCACCGCAGTGGCACGGCCCCACGTGAAGGGATGTGGCTCCTCGCAGGGGTAGGTGAGGCTGGGGTGGGGAGCCGAGGTCAGCGGGGCCTGAGGGGACACTTTGATGGCAGGGAAACCCCTGGAAGGTCCCTGGACCTGCCCCTGCTGGACCTGGGCGTCAGGGACATCGGGAGCTGGGACAGCGCATGGGGACCCCGCGTGCTCACAGGGGTCAGGATCCACTCGCGGCTGTTTGCTTTGGCCCCTGGGGCCCAGCAGGGAGGGACACCAACCTTTGGCCCTCCAGGACAGCTCTTTGCTGTTCCTCCACTAAAGCCTCATCCCAGGAGCTCTGAGCCAGCACCAGCTCTGCCCCTTTAGCCCCTCCTGGAGCTGTCCCCTGTGTCCCCGGGGTGGCCACACCAGGCAGGGGGACGGGACCTTTCCCAATGTTCTCCCGGCTCCTTTGGTCTCCCCCCAGCAGTGAAGCCCCAGCTGGGGAAGGGAAGCCTCCCCTGGGCTGGGAATCCCCTCCTGCCCCCCGCCAGCCCAGCTTGGAAGGGGAAGGAAGGGGTATTTTTAGCACTCACCCTCTGCTTGTTCCAAGGATTGAGCTAAAAAGAGGAATTGACGTTCAAAGGAGGGCTGGCTTTGCTTTAAAAGGAAGGGTTTGTGTTTTTCCTACTACTCGGTCATTGCAAAACTTTCCTGTGAAGAGGGATTGGTAAAAATACCTCTGGTGGGAGGTTGGCAGCGTGTGACATCGGTGCACGGTTCCCTCTGCTGGCGCTGCTTCCTTCCATTGCCCGGCTCCCAGGGTGAGCTCCCATCCCCACGGAAGGGATGGGGTGGGACTCAGCCCCCCTGTCCTGCTGCTGGTCACAGCTCCCATCACCTGTGAGGGGAATTCCCTCCTGCCAGCCCATGCTGGAGTGGTTCCTCTCTGCATTCCTGCTCTCAGCAGCTCTTCCTGACCATTCTAACACCTTCGGAACCCCCTGGGAACTCAGGTGCCTTCCCAGCTGCCATCCAACCCCAGCGTTGTCCTGACAACCCCCTGGAGATCCTCCAGGTCCCAAAACAAGACACCATCCACGCCCTGAGGAGGAGTTGAGCTGGGAACCACAAGGGCCAGGATCCAAAACATCGGGTTTGGTGTTTAGGGGTCATCCCTGTGTTGCTCCTTTTCTCTCTGCCCTTTAGCCATTCCCTTTGTAACTTGGTGGGGGATTCGGGAGTGACCTGGGACCCCTCCTCAAGGGCTCCAGCACAATGGGTCACGGCCTTTGCATCCCAAGGGAAGGACAATGACTCAAGCTGTGACCTGATTTCAATGCACATGATCCCAAGTCAAAGGAAGGTCACAAGGGGACAATAATCACCCGCCCAGGCATGTCCTGTCAAGGTGAGAGGTCACAAGGGATGACAACCAGCCCCCAGTTTGGTTCTGTCAAGGAAAAACACCTTCCAGAAAGAGAGGAAGCAGCACAGCCAGGGAGAAAGTGAAAGCCTAAAAAGTGGGTTTCAACCTGTCACCCTTTCCAAACCCTGAGGTCAGCTGGGCTTGTGTCAAATGTCACGTCCCACTGCGGGAAAATCCCAGCCCACCTGGTTCCTCACAGGCTCCAAGCAGCACTTTTGGTTTTGTACTTGTAGGAGAGAGAGATCCCAAGAAATGCACCTTGTGACAGGCACGAGCCAGCCCTGGTGCCCTGCCATGGCAGAGAAAGAAACAGAAATTATGAATTATGAGCCTGTGCTGACCCTAAAGGAGGGTGCAGCCAGCGGGTCAGGCTCTGTTCCCAGGGGACACGGGACAGGACAGAGCTTCCAGCTGTGCCAGGGGAGGTTTGGTTGGATATTAGGGAAAATTTCTCATGGAAAGGACACGCAGGGCAGTGGTGGAGTCAAACCCCTGCAGGGATTTAAAATCCATGTGGATGTGGCACCTTGGGGACGTGTTCAGTGTGGCCTTGGTGGTGCTGGGGGAGCATCCCGCAGCGGCTCATCCCCCAGCCCCCTCCCAGGTGCAGTTTGGGGACGGTCACTGCTGCTGGCAGCTGGTGCTCCCTGCAGCCCCTCCTTGTCCCTAACCCTGCGAACGGCACCGAATCCGCCTTTGTTCCCCTCCCCGGGGGGCAGGACCCGCTGCTAGAAAAGGGGTGGTGGGGCTGAGCGGCCCCAGCCCTGCTCGCAGAGCCTGTCCCAGCCCCATCCCAGCCCCATCCCAGCCCCATCCCAGCCCCATCCCAGCTCCATCCCAGCTCCTAGTCCCCATCCCAGCCCCAGCCCTGCTCACAGAGCCTGTCCCAGCTCCATTCCAGCTCCCAGTCCCCATCCCAGCTCCCCGTCCCCATCCCAGTCCCCATCCCAGCCCCAGCCTTGCTCACAGAGCCTGTCCCAGCCCCATCCCAGCCCCATCCCAGCTCCTATTCCCCATCCCAGCCCCAGCCCTGCTCGCAGAGCCTGTCCCAGCCCCATCCCAGCTCCCAGTCTCCATCCCAGCCCCATCCCATCTCCCAGCCCCATCCCAGCTCCCAGTCTCCATCCCAGTCCCCATCCCAGCCCCATCCCAGCCCCACTCCGGCCATGGGCCGCCCCGCCGCCGCTGCCACCGCGCTGCTGTGCCAGCTGGGGCTCTCCGCAGCCATCCAGTGGCTGTGAGTCGGGAATCTCTCCTTCCAGGGCCCCTCTTGGCGGTCCCTCGGGGCTCTGTGGCCCCCCCAGTGACCCCCACCTCTCCCCACAGCGGGCTGGCGGGCAGCGGGGTGGCCTGGAACGAGAGCCAGCACTGCCGGCTGCTGCTGCCGGAGCAGCTGCAGCTCTGCCGCCGGCACCTGGAGCTGATGCCCAGCATGGTCCTGGCTGCCCGCCGGACGCAGCAGCTGTGCCAGCAGAGCTTTGCCGACATGAGGTGGAACTGCTCCTCCATCCAGCGCGCCCCCAGCTTCGGCCCCGACCTGCTCACAGGTAAGGGATGCTCCCCCCGCCCAGCCGCTGCTCCCGCTCTGCCCCCCGGGAGCATCCCATTCTGCTTTTTGGGGTAAATGTCCTGCTTTTACATGGTGTTAATCCTCCTGTGCAAGTTCCGTCTAGGGGAGGTGACAGACACTAACTTCCATTTCAAACGGCTGCCAGAGGCTCCCAAAAAAGCAGGGGAAGAGGTGGGGATCCAGGCAGTGTAACACAGGGGCCGCGGGTTAAAACACAAAAATGGAGAAGCCTTGGCGTTATCCCGCTGCAAGGCGAAATACAGAAACTCCTTGCACTGTGCGAGGAAGAGTCTGGCCGGGCAGGGAGGAAGGAATTATCCCTGTTTTCTCTGCAGGAACACGGGAAGCCGCCTTCGTGCACGCCCTGGCAGCGGCGGCCGTGGCGCAGGGCATCGCCCGCTCCTGCGCCTCCGGAGAAATCCCGCTGTGCTCCTGCGGCCCCGGCCCCTCCGAGCCCCCCGTGCCCGGCTCCCGCTGGGGCGGCTGCGGCGACAACCTGAGCCACGGCCTCCAGCTCGGAGCCGCCTTCGCCGACGGCTCCGCCAGAGCCGGCACCGGCAGCACGCCCGGGCTCCGGGCCGTGAACCGGCACAACGGGGCCGTGGGACGGGCGGTGGGTGCGGGAGCCCCGGGTCTGCAGGTTGGGAGGGGGGATACAGAGCTCACCAGGGCTGCTGCAGGTTGGGATGGGGGATACAGAGCTCACCAGGGCTGCTGCAGGTTGGGATGAGGGATTTGGAACCCACCAGGGCTGCTGCAGGTTGGGATGGGGGATACAGAGCCCACCAGGGCTGCTGCGGGTTGGGATGATGGCTATGGAGCCCACCAGGGCTGCTGCAGGTTGGGATGAGGGATACGGAGCTCACCAGGAATGCTGGACTCTGGGATGGGGGATATGGAGCTCACCAGGGCTGCTGCAGGTTGGGATGGGGGATACAGAGCTCACGAGGGCTGCTGCAGGTTTGGATGAGGGATACGGAGCTCACCAGGGCTGCTGCAGGTTGGGATGGGGGATATGGAGCCCACCAGGAATGCTGCAGGTTGGGATGAGGGATATGGAGCCCACCAGGAATGCTGCAGGTTGGGATGAGGGATATGGAGCCCACCAGGAATGCTGCACTCCGGGATGGGGTGTATGAGCCCCCTGGCACTGACACAGTGGGGCTGAGCCTTCCCCAGGACTACCCAGGGGTGACACAGTGGGTCCAGGCCCCTGGGGGAGATGGAGCCCAGCACCCCTCACAGCAGGGGCAGAGATCCCTAATGTAAGGCAGCAGATGCCAGCCAGATTTTCGGGATGTTCTGAACATCAGGAGGCAACAAAATGGTTAAAAAGGGTGTTAGCAGACACCCTCTCACCCACACTGCTGCCCACCCCCAGACATCCCGTGGGCACATCTGACACTTCACACCAGTATTCCCAGTTAGCTGATATTTCACACCAGTACTTCCAGCTCACTGGAAACAGAGCCAGTCCTGCCCCACTCCAGCTGGGCTCCCCAACCCATCTGGTTTTGTGCTTCCATCCACTCCTGTTCCCCAGGAGAGGCTTGGGAAGCCTCCAGCCCTGCTGCCAGCTCCCCTGGGAAGTTCCCCAAGGATCAGGCTCTTACCAGAAGGGACTGAAGCAGGCCTGAGCCCCTGCTTGCCCCATTATACTCTGCTCATGCCTTGACACTCCCATGGGACTGCCCTTGGGAGCCAATCCCTGGGGCAGTGCCAGGAGGGAGCAAACTCACCTGTTTCCCTGCAGGTGCTCAGTGACTCCCTGGATACCAGGTGCAAATGCCACGGGGTTTCAGGCTCCTGCTCAGTGAAAACCTGCTGGAAAGGCCTGCCAGACCTGGGTGAAATTGCCTCTGACCTCAAATCCAGGTACCTGGCAGCCCTCAAGGTCACCCATCGGCTCGTGGGGTCCAGGAAGCAGCTGATCCCCAAGGAGGGGGATGCCAGGCCAGTGACAGAGATGGATCTGGTTTATCTCATCAACTCTCCTGACTACTGCACCCCAAACCCCCAGCTGGGCTCTCTGGGGACACAGGACAGGTAGGAAGAGCTCAGCCTCTGATTCTGGAGTGCCTGTTCCGCTGGGTTTGAGTGTCCTAGGAAGCTGATGGGGATGGGCTGGGGTGGGCTTGCAGCAGATCCCTGAATCCCTGTTTTGTGAGACTCCTCCTGCACTGCTGTGTCCAGGTCGGGGGACCCCAACACAAGAGGGGCAGGAACTTGTTCAGCAAGTCCATGTGTGCTCATGGAGATGCTCCCAGGGCTGGAGCCAGGCTGGGAGAGCTGGGGTTGCTCACCTGGGGAGGAGAAGGCTCCAGGGTGACCCCCAGAGCCCCTTCCAGGGCATAAAGAGAGATAGAGAGGGACATGGAACAAGGGATGGAGGGACAGGACACAGGAAATGGCTTTCCACTGACAGGGTTAGTTGGGATATTGGGAAGGAATTCCTGGCTGTGAGGATGGGGAGGCCGTGGCATAGGATGCCCAGAGAAGTTGTGGCTGCCCCTGGATCCCTGGAAGTGCCCAAGGCCAGGTTGGACAAGGGCTTGGAGCAACCTGGGCTGGTGGAAGGTGTCGCTGCCCATGGCAGGGGTGGCACAGGGTGATCTTTAAGCTCCATCCAACCCATTACTCCATGATCCTGCTGCCCACCAGCTCTGGGGGAGGCAGCTCCCCAGGTGCCACCTCTCCCCGCAGGCCGTGCAACAGGAGCTCGGTGGGCAGTGACAGCTGTGACCTGCTGTGCTGTGGCCGTGGCTACAACACCTACACGGAGGAGGTGCAGGAGCGCTGCCACTGCCGCTACCGCTGGTGCTGCTCCGTGGTGTGCAGGCGCTGCCGGCGCCGCCTGGAGAGACACGTCTGCAAATGAGCAGGGGAACCCACCAGGCACGGCTGGACACCCGGAGCCCATCCCAAGGGATGCCCCCAGCCAGGAGGAAGCTGTGCAGGAAGCCTGGTCTCTCGTGGAAAGCCTCAGACTGAGAGATTTTGGGATGCCTTCGGTCCCTTCCAAGCCAGACTTCAGGGCAGGACAAAGAGCAGCTGGTCAGTGGGCAGCACTTTGTCTCCAGCTGGGAAAAGCCATTGATCATTCCACAGGCCCCTTTCTCCAGGGGGAACGGGGGGACCCTGGGCTGCCATTGTCCCTTTGCAGGAGGATTCTGACAGCAGCCTGAAAGCCAGGAGTGATAGATGGAAGGGGGTAGAGTTATCCACTGGGGGAAGGCTGTAGGGATGGAATGCTGCTGCTTTGGGTGAGGGGGCCACGGGCAGCTCCTTTGGGAACAGGATTCTGCTGTGGGCTCATGCAGGGGAAAACACTGCTCCAGGGCCTTCTGCAGCATCCCGGTGGATGCACGGAGGTGGTGCTGCTCCTGTTGGTGGCAGAGACATCAGGGACAGGAGAGCTCCTGGGGCTGCCAAAACTGGGCAGCCTGGCAAACCACCCCTGACTGTGTGTTAACAACCCAGCCATGGCATCAGTGTGAATTCTGTCCCCATATCAGAGGTGGGAGCACACTCAATACATGAAATTCTCATGGCTTGTCCTTCCTGCCCCTCCTTGTGGCCCACTGAGGTCTTCAGCCCATTCCTTCCACCCTTTGGAATCAGGTGTGTTGGAATTCTGGCCTGGAGAGTGGACACAACTCCGGGGTCTTGGGGAAGCAAGAAATAACCTTTATTTTCTGTACTTCCTGTAAGTGGGATTCTGGTGTGTATTTTTAAATAAATGTTATAACTCTCTGTGCCTTGTTCTCTAGGACAATCTTCCCTCCATGTCCTTCCAAGCTGGTGCTAGAGAAAGAGGCTGTAAGGAGAGCCTTGTGTCCACAAAGCCCCATGTCTATATACTTTTCCTTTCACATATCTGAGGACCAGCTCAGTTTCAACTCTTTCAGCTTCTCACTGGCCCAGATTTGCCTTTAATTACAGATCCCTGCCTTCCTCTGCTCCTGTTTTATCCCCTGCTTCCTCAGGTCTCTGTCTGCCTGGGAACTGCCTGCCTGGGATTCAGGGCTGGTGCTGGAAGCTGTGGCAGTCCAGGGTTATTTTCTGATCCTTGGGAATGTTGGCTGGATGAGCCAAGGGTGTGTGTGAGCAGCAAGGAGTTGGGAGCCAGGGATGGGGGCTCCCACATTTCCCTTAGCACGGAATCTGGCCAAGCGCGTGGATGGGATGAGATTCCTGCTGGTGCAGCCTTTGGACAGAAAGGATGAGTCCAAACAGGTGCTGGAGGGACTCCACAGCACCAGGAGGACAGGTAAAGGGGATAGGGATCCTCGGGTGGATTCCAGCAGTTCCCAGCATTGCCTGGCGGCTCCAGCAACTCCGTTTTATTTTTGGTTCCCATTGACTGGAGTTGGCCGCGCTCAGCCCGAGCCCAGCTGGAGGATTACTCATTTCCATATCCATTCCATCATTTTTAATGGTCTCTGCTGGGTCACGGAATCAATGCATGAGCTTTTCTTGTAAAACATCCCCTCCCCTTAATGTGCTCCAGGTTTCTGTGCGAGCAGGAAGGAATCGGAGGTGGCTCGAGAGGACGCAGGGGTTGGAAGCTGGGCTCGGTCGGGGAGTGCCAGGAGCGAGTTAAGCTCGTTTATCAGTTGTTGATGTGCCATTGACTGGCTCTGCCTGCTGCCGCCTCCCTTGAGAGAGCGCCGGCAAAACCGCAGCTGCCCAAGGCCAAAGCGACCCCGAGTTTTCCTTTAGAATGCAAATTAAGGGTCAGTGCCCGGCATTCCCCAGAAAAAGGAGTTTCGTTCAGCTGCCGGGCTGCAGATTAGCCGCTGTTTCTGCGTCCTGGGGGCTGCAGGTACTAAATCAGGATTGCTTCAATGCCTTCCCTCCATCCACCTCCCAGCGCATCCCACATCACAGGGAGGTGGCACCGGGAGGGGCTGCGAACTCCGCCGAGCATTGCAAAACGAGCTGGTGAGAGGGAAAAAAAACCGGGAAGGGTCTTGTGGAGTGAGAACTCCAGCCAGGAGGGTGGGAAGTGTGATTTGCATTTGGTAACTACAAACACGCATCGCCTGGGGGAGAGGAGAGGAGCCACAATAGCAAGGAATGCCCAGGGGAGCTGTCGGGATCCCTCCTAGAGAGGTCCCGTTGGAATTTCTGCCTGGGAAAAGGCAGGGTCAAGTGCTGAATATGCAGAATCTACTCCTCCTCTCCCTCCTTGACTCCAAGCTCGACAGGGAAGAGCTGGGAAAAGACTGGAGGGGGTCACAGAGCTGCCGGAATCCTGCGGGAAAAGGGAAGGCGCCGGAATTAGCTGGAGGGTGCAAAGGGTCAGGCTGGCAGGGGGTGACAGCTCTGTGACAACGCTCTCGGTGGGAGCTGCTGGAATCCGGCTCACACCTGGAATTAGCGGGGATGTGAGACCTGCAGGGCTGGGAGCATCCCGCAGGAGCCGGGAGCCGTGGGATGGGCGCGGTGGAAATGACCCCTGTGTTTGTCCCCGGGGGTTTTAAGGGAGTAGCGTTGGTGTGAACGTGGTTATTTGTTGCTGGTCAAACTTGTGCAAACAATGAAGTCGGGAGGAAGGCGAGTGATTTTCATGGGTTCTTTTGATTTCGCTGTTAAAACGCTGATTTATTTATTTTTCTTTTTATTTCCTTATTCATTGAGGGATGCCACATAACTCATTCCAGGAGGATAATACGAGCAACAAACCGTTGGTAATTAAGTATTTTGGAGGGAGGATGACTCCAAAAGTTCAAGGATATGTTGGGCCATTTCTTCTGCACAGCCTGGAGTGCTGCTCCCGCTGGAATGTGGATGGGGACCCGCACTTGCTTTTCCTTGTGCTGCTCACAGAGCTGAGGCAGGAGCAGGAGAAAGCCCAGGCTGGGCTCAGCTGAGGGTCGACATCTCACACAATCAGGGAATCCTGGAATGGTTTGGGTCGAAGGGACCTTAAAGCTCAGCCAGTTCCACCTCCTGGCATGAGCAGGGCACCTTCTCCTACCCCAGGGTGCTCCAAGCCCTGTCCAGCCTGCACTGCTGGGAATATTTGGGGGATGTTGCTGTGACCTTTGGGATGGTTGGTCCGTGCACCGTCACACCACAAGACACACACATGAGTTAACGCCTGTATTTAAGGAAAAACCCTTCCCTCTCTGTTCTCCTTTGTCCCCTTGGGTGTTCAGCAGTGGCGTGGTGCTCTGAGGATGACAAAGCAAAACAGGGATTGTCCGTGTGGGGATCTTCAGCTGAGGGACAGGGACAAACAGGGGTGAGTAAGAGCCGTAAGATCTGAGGGGGAACCAGCTGCAGCCTGAGGAATTTTGGGTGTAAGTCAGATCTGGCAGGGGCTGTGGGGGGTCTGGAGAGGAAGCAGCTCTCCATCCCCTGGAATCATGGAATTCTTGGATGGTTTGGTAGAAGGGACCTTAAAGCCCATCTTGTTCCACCCTCTGCCATTGGCAGGGACACCTTTCCTATCCCAGGTTGCTCCAAGTCCCATCCAACCTGGACTTGGGCACTTCCAGGGATGAGGCAGCCACAGCTTCTCTGGGAAATCCAGGGTCTCCCCACAGGGAAGGATCTGATTTCTCCCAGGCTGGGCAGCCATTCCAGCAGGAAAGAAGCCTGGGGACTCTCTCCTCTGACATGGCCCTGAACCACCCCAGGGCTGCTGTCCCACTGGGAATATGCAGGAGATCCTCCCACCAGCAAAATGGGGACAGACAGGTTTGGAGGACCCACTGCACTCCTGGGCTCCGTGGGTAATAATTCATTGCACAGTCTGACACAGGCACGAAGAAAACAGAGTAAATCGTAAACTGAGTCATCCTCAGAGGCTGAGTTAGAATTACTCAGGAGTAAGGAGCATTAGCAGTGGTTGCTACATCCATACTTTGCTCCCAGACAGGTCAATCACCTGTATTTCTAAGGGAAATAATCTGCACCTAAGAGCACAGATTCAACCCTAACCTGCCTGATACCTGGTTGAATTTTAGAGATTAAAAAAAAAAAAAAAAAAAAAAAAAAAAAAAATTTAAAAAAAAAAAAAAAAGAAAGAAAGGAAGGAAAAATAAAAGTTGCACGTCTCACTTGTACTGTAGGAAAAATAGAGAATAGGAAGGTGCTGTGCTTCAACAAAAAAATTGACACCCAGTACTGCACTGTCGAGGATCTCTACTGTGTCCCCCTTTTATACAGAGAGAAAACGGACCTTTTCTGCCAATTTATCTAATTATCCACATTTTTTTTTCCAGTTTCCAGCCTCCACCCCAGCGCTCCCTGCCAGGACCCGCGCTGGCCGGTGCGCCTGGCAGGTCCTGGCAGGGAAAAGCGTGCGGGCACTGGAGACCTGCGAGCGCCGCCGGCCGCGCCGAGCCGCTGCTTCCCGCGGTGCCCGCCCGCCGCCGGCATCCCGGAGGCTCCGCGGCCGCGGGGCGAGCGCGGGGCCATCACGGCGCCCACCGGGCCGGTGCCCCTCAGCTGCCCTCCCCAGCATGGCGGCCCCGCGCCGCCGTGGCCGCACCCTCCCCAAGATGGCGCCGGCCGTGCCCTGCCCAGGGCGCCGCCCCGCGCTGCGCCCCTGCGGCAGCGACCTCCCCAAGATGGCGTCACGCCGCGTTGTAGCCTATGGCAGCGACCTCCCCAAGATGGCGTCACGCCGCGTTGTAGCCTATGGCAGCGACCTCCCCAAGATGGCGGCCGGGGCGGGTACGGTCGCGCCGCACCGCGCCGGAAGTGGCGGCGGCGCCGCCGTTCCCGGCCCATGATGGCGGAGGCGGGCGCGGGCGGCCCCCGGCTGGCGGAGCTGCTGGCGTTGGGACGGCGGCTGTGGGACGAGCTGGAGGCCAGCACCGAGCCCTCCTCGGGAGCCCCGGCCGTGCAGGACAAGGTGCGGCAGGGGCTGGAGGCGCTGCAGC